TCGATTGTGTACATCGGCCCAGGTAACAGTCGGGTACTCGATCAAGTTTTGCTTCAATTGTGGTGAAACCATTGATCTTCGTTCGTTCAGTCCTTGGGTGAAAGCTTGAACGGCCCAATCGTTTGTGACTTGTGGTTGATCCATTCGTTCCATTTGGAAACGAGATACCAACTCTCTTAGCATCTCGTTATCTTTTTGCCTTACCTTGAAAAGGTTCGACTTCTTGGTTTCGACTTTTATGGCTCTAGCATGTGCTTTTACGAAAGAATCTACAAGCATAGCAAAAGAATCGATAGAGTTAGACGGTAAATTATGATACCATATCATTGCTCCTTTTGACAGGGTCTCCCCGAACTTCTTTAATAACACAGATTCAATCTCGTCGTCTTCTAGATCGTTCTTTTTAATGGCACATGTGTAAGAGGTGACGTGTTCGTTGGGGTCGATTGTTCCGTTATATTTAGAAATTTTGGGTATGCGGAACTTCTTGGGGATCGATTTGGGAGTTGCGCTCGGGGGGAAGGGCTTTTTTACGAATTTTTTGGAATCCAAGCCCTTCAATATTGGTGGTTCCCCTGGGATCTGATCGACCCTGGAGTTATAAGTTTCTACTTTTTTGTCATTTGCTTCAATCCTCTTTTCTCCTGACTCAATTCATTTTGTTAGTTCCTCGAACATCCTAATAATCTCGGGATTAGTCCCCGATTCTTGTTCATTTGATCTTACTATAGCTGGCCCTATTTTGTGGGAGACTTCTTAGGGTGGACCGGGCTCGGGCCTGCTCGATGCCTAGGTTTGGCTCTGCAACTGAGCTATCGCTACCTGTTGAGCTTCCAACATTTCAAAAATCATACGCAGGTTGATCCCGTCTTCTCCAACATTTAAGATGTTTCGAACTGCAGAACGAGTTTCACCATGAATGCTATTTTCGGGGTCGGAACGTTGGTTCGCCTCAATTCTCACATGCAAATTAACGTCAATTGGATCTACGACCCGAGTTCCAATAGGGTCAACGAGTGGCCTTTCATTCCCGGGCGTCAGGTTGTTATTCTCATCTTGAATGCCAGCTTCGTTGTCGATAGGTATGGCCATTAATTGACAGTTCGTCATTTTTAACCTGAAACCAAAGACACTTCCAAGAGCAAGTATAAAATAGTGTATTTTACAGAGATTCGTATCAAACAATCGCTATTATCCTTAGCCCCACGGTGGGCACCAAACTGTTTATCCGAAAAACGGATAGAGTTAAATTTATACGTAGTTCTAAGGATACGTGGTATAACTTGGTACAAATTAGAAAAATAAGTAAAGATATATCGAATATTAACTTTAAGAAGAATGAATACAAACCCAAATTGAATAGAGAGTGATTGATAAGAGAAAACAGAATGAATCAATCTCAATGCCCAAAAAGGATAATATTTGCTAGATGTTATGTAAATCTCAATAAAATCTGAATGTGAGAATGTATGAATCTGTGAATTAATCACCGCCCTTTACAAATGATAGCCTCTCTTAATATAGTGGAGGAATCCTACTTTGGATATAATTAAAAATACATAGTGGGGATCCTATGATAGATTAATTAATTGGCTTTTCCTTGATTCAAGTCGTGATTTCAGCCGAGATTCTCTCCCCAAATGCGGCTATAACGACTTTTTTGTTCCTTGGCTCGTTTTCGATCTTGGTCGGTCGCGGTATTGATCGTTCTCTGGGTCTCGAGCTCGACCTTGACTCGATCTCGGTACTAATCGGTCTCTGGGTCTCGAGCTTGACCTTCCATCTTCACATCACAGCTCGATATTATAATGACGAACCTCGATCCATCAAGCTCTAATCTTGATTAGTCACACGAAGGGCAAACTCGATTTTGACCGTATACACATTTATACACGGCTCCCTATTTAATGTCTAATGTTCAATTTACTGAGAAAAGAGAAAAAGCTTGCGGGGTTTTGGTTCACATGTTAATTATGGGAAAATTATGACGAATGAATTATTTATATGTGAACAATAATGAAGTAATTACGGCTAAGTTTCTTATTGGAATAATTATGATGTGAATAATAACACAAAAAAATGTTACTAGTATGTAGGAATTACCAACGTTACGAGCAATTTTATCATTAAAGAAATATTTTTCTCTATTTTTAATTAAACATCAAATTACTTTATACAAATTTTTATGTTAGAAATATTTTTTTCTAATCACTACGGCCAAATGGTCCCATAACCGCTAGTGGAAAGAGAAGCAGAGAGGGTGAAGAAAGACGAGGTGTGACACCTTTTACGAGTACTGTTTACTGTTTAGTTATTTACCAACTTTGAGAGCCTCTCTATTTCAAAACCTGTAGGAAAAAAAGAGCTGGATAATAAAAAACATAGCAAGTTCTTTCGTATGATCAACTTTATTTTCATTACACCAACCTTTGTGTCAGGTAATTAAATCTAGACCATTTATATTAAAATAAGATATGTGTCATTTATCTATGTAAGGATTTGAGGAAATGGAGATAATGAAAAATGTTGAGGGCCGGATCCATACTTTAGTAGACTGAAAGATTACTAAGGTACGATGATCAGCAAAAAAAATAATTATACAGTCAGATATCTCTATAACAATATCCTTATATAACAGCACTTCTCTATAAAAGCCAAATTTTTCCGAAACCAAATCTCATGTTATATTATAATATATGTTTTCTATAACAGCAATTCACTGTAACATCCAAAAAAATCCGGAACAAATAATACTTTTATAGAGAGGTTTGACTGTACAACCAATTTTTAAGAGTTCCATAGCCCAACCTCAAAAGTGTTCTGAAATCCAATTGACATGAGCCCAATATGAAAAAGGCCATGAATGACCTCGGCCCATGACTATTTGGATACAGAGTTTAAGTTAGGGATTTTTTTATTCCTATACACTATATGAAACTTTATTATTAAAAATATTCATATTTACTTAATTACCCGGACTAAACACGTTTTGTCTACAAATTATATATATTTATTTAAACTAGAATCCTTTCTGCAGTAGCCTTCCTTTTTTAGAGGGGGGATTTTGAGATCGCGTAGGATTTTTCCGAGAATTTTGCGACGCAATCATCGCAATTGAATTAAGCCTACTATTAAGCTAATTTTCTCAGTTTATCATCGCCGATACTCTGGTTTTCTCTGTCTCCTCTGTTTTCACAACCATAAGCAAAGGTTTTGAAAAAATAATTGTAAATAATTATCTACAATTGTATTGAATTCCGCGACATAATGTTAAAAATAGCTATTATGCTTCAGCTAAATGGTAATTGGGATAGCTTTGGGAGATACAGAGATTTTTAATGTTGACGAAATTGTAGTCAGCGATGATTCAAATTATAGTCAATTGAATTCTGCAATCGCAAAGCATCTAATGATCGATACATCAGAAAAAATCATCGAAATCAAATACATTGTCAATGAACATTATCCTCCAATGAAAATTCGGAACGATATGGGAGTTCGAGTATACATGGAGACGAAAAAGGAAAACAAAAGCTTAGGAATGTATCCGCTATGTACAACAATGCGTGATTTCGATTTGGAATGCAGTATCTCTAATTCGAACACAATTGCAGGTTTGCTCTATTATTTCAGTGGTGATATTTTTTTATATTTCATGTGTTCTACAATTTTTCTATAATATAGCTACAAAAATACTACATAACAAGTGTAATTCAACTGTTATGAATATTGAAGTATTGAATTTCACGTGTTCTATAATTTTACTACAAACTATCTACAATGTATGTCTGAACTGTAGTTAGCTTTAATTGAGTGCATGTTCATCTGGAATACTGAAGTTGATTGATATGAAAATATCTCCGGCGATAGTAGAATATGATAGTATCATCATAACAGAACATATGCCAAATGTTATTGAAGTAGGCCAAGCCTACAAAGACAAGCAAATAATTGCCAGTGCAATAAAGCACTATTCTATCATGTACAAGTTCCAATTTAGGGTGAAAAGGTCTAGCGCAAGAAGGTAGGAACAGTTCAATTATCAACATCATATTTTTGTTTACTTTGTAGTTTCTTTGTATAGTTTGTAATATCATTGTATACAAATTGTATATAATTTATAGTTGTTTTGTATATAAATTGTTAAATATAAGATTTTTATGCTTAAACAACCTATTATTTTGTAGCTACATTTTTCATAACATTCTTTAAATTATTTTTATTCTATAGCTACTGCCTGGTATGTGTTGGGGACAATTGTACATGGTACTTCAAGTCCACCAGGATAAATGATTCAGCATTGTTCAAGGTTCAAAAATTCAACAGCTTGCCCACATACTCTTTGATGGACAATACATACATACAGTGCAAACCTACTGCCACGGTAGTTGGTAGCATGGTTATACCAAAATATACGGATCCTAAGACAATTTACATACCAAAAGACATACAAACTGATATGTTGTCGGAACACGGTATGAACTTAACATACATGCAAGCTTGGAGAGCAAAGGAAAAGGCTTTGAAATTTTTGAGAGGTCATCCTGCTGATTCCTACAGTCGCTTGCCAAGTTATTTGTATATTCTGGAGAAGACTTATCCGGGGTCGGTAGTTAAATTACAGAAGACTGACGATGACTATTTCTTGTACGCATTTGTTACGCTTAGTACGTCCATCAAGGATTGGGATTATTGTAGGCCAGTTATAGTAGTTGATGGGACCTTCTTGAAGTCGGCATATAAGGGAATAATATTAATAGCTAGCATAATGGATGTTGCATGTATTGTAGCTTAATTGTAGAAATATTGTTGTAAATTTGTTTTTTAGTATGTATTTGTTTTTCATCTCTAGTTTTATTATGGAAATTGAATTTTTTTTTTTGCCACCTGTGATAGGTAGCATATTACCACTGGCATACGCTGTTGTTGATTCAGAATATGACGCATCATAGAAGTGGTTTTTTGAGCAATTCAAACATGCGTATGGTGAAAAACCAAATATGTGTGTTGTTTCGGATTGGAATGAGAGTATCTTGAAGGCAACATCTATTGTTTATATTGGCATGCCACATTATGCTTGCATGCGGCATATTTGGACAAATATAAGGTCAAAGTTCAAGAAGGGTCATCTAAAGTTAAGCGAATTGTACTTTGTCACGGCACGATCATACACGCTTGATGAATTTAATGAAAGAATGTCAAAGATTGAAGAGATCGGCATGCGTGTTAAAGCATACCTATACGATATTGGCTATCACAGATGGTCTCGGGTACATGCTACAGTGAACAGAATGTGGACGATGACATTAAACATTGCAGAGTCAGTGAATGCGGTAACAAAAGATGCAAGAGAGCTGCCCATAGTAGAACTATTAGAGTACACGGGGACTCTTCTTGAACGTTGGACTAATGAAAAATTATTGAAAGCAAAGAGTATATTCACATACCTTGGGAAAAAATACAACAAAGAGTTGGAGGACAACATGACATTATCGCAGAAGATGAGAGTAAGCTATATCCAGTAATATCAGATCAATGATTCCATCAAACTAAATATATACTGTTAATTGTAGATAAAATGTTGCATAATTATAGTTATTTTGTATATGTTTCTGACAACTTGTTGTGTGTTTGTAATAAAATTGTAGGTGAGGGCTTCAACATATCACATCCATACAGTGATAGATGGTGTGAAGCGCTTTATTGTTTGTCTTCAAAACAAGAGATGTAGTTGTGGACAATTCCAGCTTGATGAACTTCATTGTGCACATTCTTTGGCGGCTTTGAAGCACAAGAATGAGTCTTATAAAAACTATTGTTCTCCTTATTACACGAGGGAGAGCCTTTTGCATACTTATGAAATACCAGTAGACCCATTGCCTGACGAAAGCAAATGGAATGTGCCACAACATATAGCTGAAGACGTTATAATGCTACCTACTGGGAAAAGACAGCCAGGAAGACCTCAAAAACAAAGATACAAACCATATGGTGAAGTAACTGCAAAGAAGTACAAGGTTTCATGTGGCAACTGCGGACTAGAAGGGCATAACAAAAGATCTTGTAAGAATGCTCCCAAGAGGAAATAAAATTTGATAAAGTCAAAAGATTTTTAGAAAAATTGCGTTGAGGTGTTCTGGAGAATTATAGTTGAGGTGTAATTGTGTTGATAAATTGAATAAAGACTGTCTCCTATAATAAAATATTTTCAACTCTTAATGCAATTGGTTTGTATTTATTTTGTTTAATTACTGAGTGTATTCATTTCAGCCTTTCATAACTTGATTGGATTATGTATTTTTTGTATGTATAATACATAACTGTAGTTAAGTTATAAAAAAATTATATGCTAACAATAACGATATCAAGTACTAACAACTTTTAACTAAAAAGAAAACAACAGATGTTTCCTATTCTAAGTAGTAGTATCCTGGATAAAATAACAAAACATAGGTAAAACAATTATAGCACAAATCTGTTACAAATAAACTTCAACTGACTTGTTCTTAGATAACAATTTGTCTACAACTTTACTACAAAACAGCTATAACTAAACAATTTAACTATATTTTTTCTACAGAAAAGGGCAACTAATTCTTCTTCTTCTGGACTTGTGTTCTCTCGTTCACAGCTGGTGCACCTTTTCTTCGTCCTAATCTTCCAGTCACCTCGCTCTCACTAATAGCACCAGTATCTTGCTTCTTCCTAGCATAATCCCAAAGTAGCGCTCCATAGCGTCTACGATGTTGATCAATATCATAAAGGTCTTCCTTTGAAACTACTAGCTCTCCAATGCTGACATATTCTACAAATGCAGTCACGTATACACCACAGTCATTGCAAAAAGAAATTAGGGGAAAAGATTTAGCATTCATTATAAAATAAAATCTGTTAAATAGATAGAAGGAAAAACAGATTTTTCATACAGTGATCCCTCTTTTTGCTGGGGTATCTCACCGACCAACCACTGAATGTCAAGAGGGTCAGTAATATTTTTTTCAATGTATGCCTTTGTGTTCTTCTAATTGATGTCTGGACGCTTGCCATAGAAGCTGATGCTTGACAAGTAGAGGGGGATCATAACAGTAAACTTGTTGACAACAGATTCAATAAGGTTGTGATTTCGTGAAGAGACCCTAGAATCATAAACATATAGAACCCTATCGGTAATGTCAAACACAACCAACAACCAATGAAATTTCTCCACAATGTTTATAGGCATAATCACAAAATCAACTTGATCCCATGCAACATTTGCGAGTAACCTGTACCCCAATATGTATTCTAATACAACGTCCTGGGGTTTGACAATAGCAAGCTTCTTATCGGCAGGGAGCATTGATGTACCTCTGATAAATTTGTTCAATTCTAGTCTTGAATATACAATCAGTGGTTGTAAATCGTATTTTGTTTTGAGGACTATACTTTCCTCTCTTTCTCAAAATAATATAAAATAACATCAATGTGCTGCATAAAAATAGATTTTATTATTTCTCAATGCTTCATACAATTTAACTATAATTTTTAAACAAAAAAACTACAAAATCTTTAGATGACAGAATACTACAGCTAGTCATTAAATTCTGCTAGGGTATGTGTTTACCGTGTCATTGAGGACTTGCCCGGGATGTGACAAAGTATAAAACCACTCATTTTTATTAACTTTCTCTACTCCAAGATCATACCACGGCTTAAGCTGGTTATCTTTTACAGAATAAGGCGCCTTTCTCCGATTTAAACACATAGAAATTACAATAAATATGTAAATTCAAGTGGAAATCCAAAAGATGAATGCACTCGAAAATATGAACAAATTGTATAAACTAACCTCTTTGAAACTGTATTGGTGCTAAAGTATAACCACTTATTGAATTCTTCCAACAAGTCAGGATCAACATCTTCGCCAATAACCTTAGTAAATGGATGCTTGATGAGGAAAATTGGAGGTCCAACAGAAGTGCTCCCCCCAGAACTGTAAAAAGGGAGATCTGACATGCTTTACAGGCTGCCTTGTTCTTCCTTGATGCACAGGGGTTGTTTCATCTTCATTAAGCTCGCCGAACTTAACAATCTAGGAGAAGTTCTTTGGCAGCTCAAAATCATCAAGTGTTACTTCCCTTTTTTCAGATCTGGAGTCATTGTCCAAATCGCCTACATTAATATAGATGGTTGGTTCACCTTCAAAATTTAAGACAAAAGAATAAGAAGATATGTTGCATCAGCTCTTTATTGAAAATTGAAATTTATATTAAACCTGTTTTGTTTTCTACAATTATAATGTAATGTATAATACCACTAAAATCTTCACGACAATCATCTCCTTGTTGTATAACGTTCTCTTCTTGAATGGGAGATTGAATTTTTGTCTCCTTCTCCTCATTTTTTTTCTCTCCTGGAATGCTTATTGTAGCCTCCTGTTTTGGAGATTCTACATGCATAGTTTCCTTCTCTGTTACAATAAATATGTATAACTTAATAAAATTGTAGATAATTTATAGTAAACATTAACATCACTGCATATAAATTGTAGTTTAGTTGTAGTAAATTTGCTGAAATATTGTCCTGCAGTTGATATGAAAAATGTATTGTGAAATGTGATGATAACATGTACTAAATCATACCCGCATTCTCTTCATCAAATGCCCCTTTAAATTGGGAAGATAAATCAACACCTACAGGAACATTCTCTTCAATTTCTATGTCATTCACGTGCCATGTATCTAAGAAAACCATTGGAAATATAATGTAAATTAGTTCCTGGTAATATAAGAAATATGTAGATATAGTGTAGACATAATGTAGATATGTAGATATATGTAGATATATTGTAGACGTAATGTAGATATGTAGATATATTGTAGATATATTGTAGGTATAATGTAGATATAATGTAGATGCTTGTTTTACTGCTGCTGGCATGCACTGGTTTAGCACTACTGTCCGAAAAGTGTTGATTGTTCTTTTCTTTGGAGTACTCATCATTTTTCGTAGAACTGTCAGTAAACTGCAGGCATTTAATTTGTTAGGCTATATACTTTATGAATGATAATATAAACTTAGACATGGTAAAAAATGTTATCTAAAATAAATATATTTCAAATAAAACTTTAGCATCAATGTTATCCTTTTGACTGTTTATCACCTGTAAAACAACCTTGATTGAATCATTGAGTAGCGGTCGGATACTACCTAATTCTTGAAAAATCTCTTTCTTGAAAGTTCCAAGATCTGAACCAACCTACGTATTAAAATAGAAAGAGTTAACGAAATAATTTGCATAACATAAATTAAAGAAACCATCTAGGATTATGTATATATATGTTACCTTGTCAACATCTTTTCGTAATTTTTTTATTTGTTTCACAATATCTTTCTTGTCATCTATTCTAATTTATTGCTTATATCCGGATGGAGATGGAGCATCTATCGAATGCTTGGACTTTGTTTCAACTTCTTCAAGGATGTATTCAACTTTATCTGGCAAATTCATTCTTGTAAGCTCTTCTGGTGCTTCAATTATGTTGGTGAACTGAGTGAAAAAAAGAAATGTGAGTGACTTAGATATAATATGTATAAAAAGTGTAGATAATTTATATTAGATTATCTGCGCAGAAGTGAAAACCATTTACCTTGATCCATGATGGTTTAGTCATTCTATCTTCAATTGCAGATAACCATATCTTGTCCTTACTAGCCGACCAGCTAAGTACGTGAGGGATCGAATTAGCAACCATTGTAGTTATATCAGTGTTGACGGTAGAGCAACACTCATACAACCATATTTGTATAGCTAGTGCAAAGCCTCGAGTGACATAAAAATGAACAGAAGGGTTGAGATTGTGCCTAACGGACTGAAGCAATTGTGTATAAGATTCACTACCCCATGCGTAGTTCGCATACTGCCCAAAGTCCACCAAATAGAATCTAAAATGGTCTATCAAACCTACATTATCTTTGTCTGAAGGACAGAGGAAGAATTCTATGAGATAGAGAATACACAGCTTGACTGCATCCTCATCGTTCACCCAACTACGGCTGGTTACAATTTGTTTTAAGTATGACTTCTCAACTTTTTTCTTGTTTGGAAAATACCTTCTCATTATTTTACAGTCATACTTAGGTGTGTAACCAAAATTTGTCATTTCCGTAAAACATCTAAGGCCACTAATCAGGGCAAACTCTCTCAAACCAAAATTCAGCCTCTCACCCTTTATCTTTGCGGAGAAAAAGTCGGAACCAGATGCGTTCAATTCATACTTCATGAGAAGATGAATTGCTTGATTTTGCATACATATTTTGGGCAAGTAAAGAAAATAGCCAAAACATATCTTCTTAAACAGCTTTAAACCATTTTCAGAGAGTAAAACCTTGATTTGGCCAGGAATAGTGGGGTCGGATAATGTCTGGAACTTAATAATCCCATAGTCAACATCAGGAGGTGAAAACAATGGTCCATTCTGCAGCAAAAGAAAAAGAAAGTTATTAAAACTTGTTTCAAAATCAAAAAACAAAATAACTACATTTATACTACAATTTATCTATAATCAAAAAATAAAATAATTACAGTTATATTATAATTTATCTACAATCAGAAAAACACAGTCAAAACCAGAAAATAAAATAATTACGTTTATACTACAATTTATCTACAATTAGAAAAATATAATCTACAATAAATCTACACAATGTAGACAAAATTTCTACAACTACAAAAATAAAATTTATGCATATTCATAAGAATGAGAACAAGTTTTTTAGCTTTAAAAAAATTAAAACTACTAAATTTTACCTTCTTCAAAGACTGTTGGGGAATAGTTTTAGAAGATTTTTGAACCTTCTTCTTTTTTGAAGGTTTAACGGTAGAAGACACTCTAATTGCTTTTTGTAACTTTCATGATAGCTTCTTCTTAGACGAAATCATTATCGAAAATAATTTCTTTGCCTTTCCGTTTTGCAGATTTAACAGGTATCGAGGATTCACCAGCATCCATATCGTGCTTTTGTTTTGTACGAGCTTCTGCCCTTGCTTCACGAGGGGAAAACCTAGGGTTGGACTCTTCATTTGCATGTGCTGATTTTGAAATTTGTT